AAAAATAGTTCTGCTTACTTGAAAAAAAATCTTTAAATTTTAGAGCTTCTCTGCTATGTAAGGAGATTTTTACTGCAGCAATTTGTTCAAAATTTTATTTCCAAAGTAATGAAAGAATCAGAAGAATATTTTAAAACTTCTTTGAGGAATTACTGTCAAGAAAGATCGGTCGATAAAGAATTTCAAATACGAAACGCAGAGTTAACGTAATTTTAAAACCTCGACAAAATGAACTATGTTGCATGCGTTCTATGTAGAACTTTGATAATATTGGTTTCTGTCAAAACGAAAGGTTAAAGTAATTTCTATTTTGTCATACCCATTGTCTGCTATAAAAGAAAGGTTATTCTTAATATTAATACAGAAGAAAACATTGAATATTACGACATTCTGAAATTGCTTTGGGTTCTTCGAACAGAAAATAAAAGTGAATCGCCGATTTCCGGTAACAAGAAAGTTTCAACAGTTTTTTTTAAATTTTGGTATTGTTTTTATTGGACGGTAAATTATTTTACGTTAGTGACAAACTTTCATGTTTCTACAAGCCAAAGAAGAAAAACTATTTTGTTAATGTTGGGTTTGGTTAAAGTACGAGATGATTAGTTTGTACATAAAATGCCGTGGTTGTAATTAAAAAACTCAACGCACAAATGTAAACAAAGAAATTTATGACGTGAATACTTTCATTTTTGAAAGGAAGTATCCAGTACTGACGTATTTGGAAATTATAATTGAAAGTCGACCTGTCTTTTTTTTATCTTGATTTTTATTTAGTAACGAAATACTAAAAACACCGAGAGTACTATCAGTTATGTTATAAATAATTTTAATTTTATTTTTAATGAGACTGTTTTTGTCAACCTTGAAGATTGACAAAACCTTAACGCAAGGTGAAAGAACTAAACGAATATTTGAAATTCAGGTACACTTACAAAGGTTTTTTGTCACACCCGACTTTCTTCAATGCCACGGATCCCCCACGAAAACAGATCTTCTGTGTCAAAATATCCAAGAAGTAATCGACTAGAAATGTTTTTTAAGTGGGCATGCTTTCCACGAAATCTTTCCGCCATGGCCCGTTTCCTCCCAACTCCTTGCCAGTTGGAAACGACAGTACAGAAGATGCCGCCACCGCCCTGACGAGCATGGATCGCAGTCCATGCCTTGATATTCGTGCCAACCCGCGATGCCACGTCCCGGCGCGCTCATTGGTGGTATCTGCGCGCTACCTATCGGCGAACGATTTAACTACAATATAGTTCCGGATCTGAATCACAGATTTCAGCAATACGAGAAGGCGCGAAATATGATCGACAACATCATCGATCCTACAACATCAAGTAACATTTACGGCGATCTCGCTCATTTCGCGCATTAATTTAAGAACTTAAAATCATAAATAATTACAAACAAATACTTAATATATTTTTCAAATTAACTTGACATAATCTTCACTGTAAGATTTTAATCAGGCCCAAATATGTGTACACTAGCATAGCCTACTTGTATCCTACGCATATTGGTGGGCTATGGCAACATAACACATTACAAAGAAAATCAATGACACCGATGCGTAAGGCACATAATCGCCCGCTAGTATTAATTATAGTAGGCATACAGCGGGCTATGGACACTCTCCATTCCGTTGTTTTGTATGCAAACAATTTATTCGTTTCTCCTTGGAATGTTTTGACATTTTAGAACTGTTTAGCGTTTATGATAACGAATTTAATAAATAATTGCTTATTATGGCCACTTAAAACGCATGCCATTTAGACCTACTTCAACCAAACAAGTTATATTTTCATTTCAACGCATATTACGTTTTTTTAATATAATTTTTCGTACAGTATCTCTCCAGTTGGCCTTAAAAAAGTGTCGTTCCTACGAAATGTAACAGTACGTAACGTAATGCAACACTACTCTTACTACGTAATGTAAAATTTACAAGTTGGAACAACCGGAAAGAAAACAACAGTTCGTACATTAGGGCAACCATTTTAAGGTTGTTTCTACCAATGAGATACTGTGGCACGGGCAGCACAATGATGTTTCTTTGTCACGTACGAGTCACAAAAGAACAGTAGCGAAGGAGTTGAGTTGAGAAGCAGCTCATGGCATGCCACCGTGGCGCGAGTAGAGTCACTGTCACCTGGATGCAAATGTGAGTCTTGGATGCAAATGTGAGAACTGCAATAAAGAAGCACGGCTCAGGGTGTAGCTAGTAGACCACAACGAACGGATTCATTGATTGATTCGTGTTTCTGGCAGTGATGTTCCTTTACGCGCCAAGAACCATAGTCTGCGTCTACACGTAAGAAACGTGAAGACAACGTACACTACGTAGACAGAGGTAATCTATGTAGACACGAGTAATTAATGGTAATTTAATTTTTTAGGATTTTTGATTGAATTTAACCTGACACACAAGAATGGTGTTTTTTTCTGAAATTCTATTTATTCTGGTTATTAATTTCGGTATATTTATATATTGAACTAGTAAATATGTTTCCAAATTATGTAATGAATATCATCATAATATCAGTGCTGATTGGTTGCATTTTATTTATTTGAGATTTCTTTCACTAAGATACTTTTTTTTCATTTCAATTCAAAATATATTTTTAAGTTCCATATATTATTATTATTATTATTATTATTATTATTATTATTATTATTATTATTATTATTATTATTATATTCATTTTGTTATTTTTAGCAACATAAGAGGTTTCAAAATATGGCATATGTAACGTCTGTAATATGTTTTGGCCTGCCAGAGATTTTTATTTCGTCACACAGCTACAGAAACAGAGACGATTTTAAAGGAAATCTACAACCTTATATTTGCGTCGAGTGTGTATAATGTAAATCTACCGCGACAGTAAACATCTTTTTCAGTCTCCGGATAGGGTAAGATTTACACTTTCTTGGTGCAATATTTTATCTATCGATAGATATCAGGGGCTATGATTTCGCACTCGCGAAAACTCCCAAATGAATTTACTGAAATTCTTTATCATTGAATAGTTAAGAACATGAATGCACTTATTTTAAAATAATGTTTCATCGATAAATGCCATTTATTCAGAACAACTTTTAATCCAAGAGAAAAATCACAAAAAAACAACAAATTTTAAAATTATATATTTCAGTTTAATTTGAAACTCGTGCAAAAATCATTGAAACATTGGGAGGCATTTTTAAAAATATGACATTTGAGAGTTACTGTATATTCGAATTTTGAACTTCGTTTCACAGAAAACTATCGAGTTTTGGAGAAACTTCATACAACGTCGTTTCAATCACTTTCAGTCACAAATGCAAGTGTTTACAAATCCCTGGAAATGCGCATATTAAAGGTGTTAGAAGATCTTTCTTTGTGTAATTTTTGAAAACATAAATGAACACAGCAAAATTAATTCTATGTCATCTTGCACAGTGCAATTAGCACTATCTGTTGTAAATGTTTGAAGAAAAAATTTGATGCCATTTTTGAGAAAATGGAGTTTGAACGTCTCTGAAAATACGAAATTTTGAGCTCATTTTCACCGAATACTGTTGGGTTTTCTAGAAACTTTATCTGACATTATTTAAAGCACATGTGCTCACATATACATTAATGAAATTGTCGCTTATTTAAATATTAACGACATGAGACACAAGAAAAATTACATTTTTTAAACGAAAAGATAAGGTAATGTGGACTTTATGTCATATTATAGAGTGAATTTAGTACTATTCCTACCAAAAGTTTAAGGGGAAAAAATCTCTTTAATTATAGTTGTAGGAACTCACCGAAAAAAATCATACTTTTGAAATTTTCGAAAACTTAGTTAACCGTAGAAATTAGACATGTACTACCTTTATAAGTGTATTTTACTTTATTCTTACAAGAAATGTTAAAAAACTTTTGAGTCTTTTTAAGAAAATTTTGAAAATTTCCGGAGGACTTCATGTAAAGTTTCAATTCGAGCCAGATGGACTGGGGTTTCTTCAATTTGAAAAAAATGCAACGCATGGTGTAGGCGCTAGTGGTGTTTACAGACGGACAGACATACATGTTTTGCAAATATCCACTTTCTCGGTATCAGGGGTATACACCAAAACACGTATCTCCATTGAAATCCCGGAATCGATTTTTCGCAGCATTACATAACTTTCCCCATACTACGTATATACTCCGTATAATGAATACATATACAGGAAAGTAAAAGTAGTATCTTAATGCTAGCAAACCAAGGGCGAGGAGAGACTTGGAGGCCCATCGATTATTGTTTATTTGTTTTTATAGGTTACAATTTTGTTATAAAGCCGAGAACATTGTTATTGTTTCTGATACGCTGTTCATAATATATGTAATTTTTCATATGTGTTTGTTCTAATTTGAAGTATTACAGCGTCTTTGACCACAGATAAAAAAAAACGGTACGATTCACTCAAAAATAATTTAGAATTAGAATTAGAATACGTTTTGAACACATTTATAGTATTTGAAGTCTCAGTATAATATAGTTAAACACACGTCTATATTATGAAGATACATCGACTTTTTTAACATAAAAATATAATATGTTCTGTCATTAAATACAAATATTAATTTGAGAAATTAAATCATTTATTCATTTGTAGAGGCCGAAATTGAACAATAGTTTTGTTTAAAAGAATGGACATGTTGTTAGTTACAATAATTCCTAAATTTTATCAAAACTACCAAAAAATCAATAAAATCAAACTTTTAAGGGGTGGGTGCGCCCCCCCTCCATTGTTAATGCATCGGGATCTTTTAAATATTGGTATTCACACGGTTAAAAGTAAAGCTTGAAGTAAAAAGAGTGCATGCGGATAAAGAAATTACAGCAATGGAATATAAGAGTAAGGCGCCGAGGGGCCTCGCTCAGTGCAGGATCCAGTAGAAGACATTGTAATCACATTAAATTGTCATCAGTAATTTTATACTGGCGTATTATGCAAAGTGAAGGCTATTTTAGTATATCAATTCAGTCAACGAAATCTGAAAGTTATTAATTTTAAAATATTGAATAAATCGTTTTTATAGTATTCATTTCACTACTTATACAGATAAATCACACAAAATATCTGTATGAAGTAATAAAACAACAGCAGTAGTAAGATCATTCACCATGAACAATTCTGAGAAGGACAGTCTATGCTATCTCACAATGAGAGCGAATTAAGGTCGGGAGGGGGAGGGAACGAGTTCGCGAGAGGATTATTCGACGGTTTCATTTTGGGCGGCATCTTCCCAAAGGCGGCGCCGATGCTCGGGGCGGGG